AGCAATAATGAATGTTCCTGGGAGACCGTGGTTGCGCGGGATGTTGATGTTCCAGAAATGTCAAAAAAAGTGCCCTGGCCTTGAATGACAAGGTAAGGAAAATAAGACTAAATCAAAATTAAATAACCAGGACTAGGTTGACCATGTGATTTTTCTCAGGAGATGTTTTGAGCATTTTACTTCAGATACCGGATTATCAGCAAATTGCCAAGAGAACTGCTAATTTAACGTTAGCTGGCTACTTAAAATAAACTAGCAATCTATTCAGTCAGCATATTTGTATTTGATCTGTGTGAATTACAGAAATATAAGACTTGCTAGACCTAAGTTACTTTTAGCTACCAAGCTCTGTGGTTAATGAAAATTAAATCAACCATTTATTCTCCAACTTTCAGAGATAAATTAAAATGAGTGGAGCATATCCACCCAAGAAGAGGAAACTGACTTACTTCTTCAACAGGTGGGGTGATATTCCAGACATTTTTAGCATGACTAGCTCTGTAACATGTTGGCAGTAGAGATGGGACAGTATGAAAATGACCAAAATTATCAGTGTTGTTCGGTATTATTGCGGTATTTTTAAAAGTATGTTCAATATGTTCAGAATACTGAATACTGTACTAATACTGAGGTGTTTGCATACCAGCCATTGTGGGAAGTAATAAAGTTATAGATGAGTGATGAGTTATAGATGTGTGTTCTCTGTACTGATTTTAAGAATGTGTATGAAATTAAATGTAAAATCAAAATTAAATTACAAAGGTAAAACACAAATAAATTCAAATGTTGATTGTAAAACTAACCAGTGTTATCATCATTTTTATATCTTAAAGCTGCAGTCCGCAGTTTTCGCCATCTCTGTTCGAAATCTGCAATTGCAGTTATTCTCGGAATTATCAACTTTACGTGGGTTGTGTAATGAGGCAACCACTGGAGCCAGAAATCCAAACTTTGCCTTTTTATGTGTGTGTGTGTGTGTGTGTGTGTGTGTGTTGTCGTAGTAAAGAGAGAGAATGGGAGAAGGAAGTTTGTATGAGGTGGACCTGGTCACCACAGACCCAAATCTTCTCAGCTGTTGCTACTGTCATATGCTGCACTGTCTCTCCATGTGGCACATTATGTTTGGCACATTGTATGGGTCACTATATCATAACAAGGTAATACAACGTGTAATCAAGTGATGACTGATTAACAGTAATGTAAATGCTAAATGTCCTAATACCTGTTGCAAAGTAAATCCTCTTAACCTTGCAGTTTTTCACATATCATGTAATACTCAATTTCTCCATTTCTTTGCACAAAACTCTCCAGAAAGTGCTATTTAATGGTTTATTTTTCAAAAAAAAATTCCCGGGGGGGCATGCCCCCGGACCCCCCTAGGGAGAGCACCCCCACATAATAAATCCCAATTTAACCCCTGCCAATAGGCATATATATTTTAATTTGAGGCGGCTATTTAACATGATTTATAACAACAACAAAAAAAAACGTAAAGACATGTGTAATTTCACTAGACGCTCAACGAGCCTTTGACCAGTTAGAGTGGAAATATATGATTGCTGTACTAAAGAAATTTGGATTCGGTTCAGAATTTGTTAAATGGATTGAAATGTTTTATGCGCATCCAGTAGCTTCTGTTATTACTAACCAAGACGCTTCAAATCCATTTCAGTTATCTCGTGGCACACGACAGGGATGCCCCCTATCTCCTTTTTTGTTCGCCATATCGATGGAACCATTGGCAGCAAGGATCAGGCAACATCTTAACATAGCGCCTATTATGATCAAGGGCAGACCCCAACATCTTTCGCTGTATGCGGACGATATTATATTGTACATTTCTAACCCTGAAATGTCTATTCCACCATTACTTGAGCTTATCGAAAAATTTGGCAGTCTTTCCGGATTCACGATAAATTGGGAAAAAAAGTGAATTAATGCCAGTCTCTGACGATCTAGATAAAACATTTTTAGCCAGTACCAAATTTAAAATTGCAAACAACTCCTTTAAATATTTGGGTATGTTGATCACTAAAAACCCTGAAACGTTATTAAAATTGAATTGGAAAAAGAAAATTGATCAGCTTAAAGATAATATAATTTTTTGGAAGACACTCCCCATGTCCATGGTAGGCAGGATAAACGCTATAAAAATGGTCGTACTTCCAAGATTTTTGTATGTATTTCAATGTATTCCTTTCTTTATTCCCCTTTATCATTTTAAACAGCTAGAATCTATTATAACCAGCTTCATACGGGCCAACAAGACTGCTAGGATTAACAAGAAGCATCTAAATAAACTTAAGGATCAAGGAGGATTTGTGCTTCCCAATTTTAAATATTATTATTGGGCAGCTAATTTATGTACTTTAGCATGGTGGAGGAAATCCGGATTGGTGGAGTTAGTTGACAAGCCAGAATGGTTAGCAATTGAAGAAGCTTGTTGTAATAAGACTTCATTAACTGCTTTGCTTAATAGTCCCATTAAAATTGACGTCAAGAGTATCAACGGAAACATAGTTATCTCTAATTTAATTAAAGTATGGAAACAAATTAAGGTATTTTTGAAAATTCCAGATATATATCTGGACACTCCAATTTGTAATAATCATGCTTTTCCTCCGGGGTTACATGATAAGCTCTTTTTTCAATGGAAACACATAACAATTCAGGATCTTTATAGAGAAGGTACATTTAGCTCTTTTGAACAGCTAAAACAAAGCTATGCTCTTGTTTCTGCACATTTCTTCCGTTATTTGCAAGTTAGAGACTTTGTTAGAAAGCACATTCCAAACTTTGAAGTTTTGAATTTGAATCCCACCTTAGAGAGAATCGTTAATGTACATCCTGGTATGAATGGTAGTGTGTCTAACTTTTACAAATTACTGCAAAAAAATGTGGACAGTAGCACAGAAAAAATAAAACATGACTGGGAGGAGGAAATTGGTTTTAACATTCATGAAAACGTGTGGGATGCATGCTTGAGAAACATACATACATGCTCTGTGAATGCTAGACACAATTTGATTCAGTTCAAGGTAATTCATAGGCTTCATTATTCTAAGTCAAAACTTCATAAAATATATCCCACGATTTCTCCACTATGTAATAAGTGTAAAGTGTCAGAAGGCACACTGTTTCATTCTTTATGGTCATGTAGTAAAATTCAGCCATTTTGGGAATGTATATTTAAATTTATTTCTGAAGCAAATTCTATTGAGTTGGAGCCTGAGCCTTGCACTGGACTTTTAGGAGCAGAGAATGCTTTTTGTAATAAATATCAGACACAGGCCATTTCGCTGTGTATGATGTTGGCAAAAAGACTTATTTTACAAATGTGGAAAGCAGATTCTGTCCCCACCTTTGAGATGTGGGCTAGGGAACTGGGAAATATGTTGTACTTGGAAGAACTGAGATTTATATTAAAAGACAAATTATCTATTTTCATTAAAATTTGGGAACCAATAAGAAAATTGGGGGGGGGGGGGGGGGGGGGGGGGGGCATGCACCCAGACCCCCCTAGTGTTACAATTTTACCACCTCCGCCTCATTTTGAGCCAGGAAAAACCCTGGATCTGCTTAATTATTGATATTTACAGTTTATTTGAATATTTACTTTTTACTTTCGGTACTTGAGTATGTTTTAAATCAGATACTTTTGTACTTTTACTCAAGTGATGTTTGAATGGAGGACTTTCTACTTTTACTGGAGTAATTTTTTATTTAGGTAGGCCTATATATAGCCTACTTTTACTCGAGTATAACTTTTGAGTACTTTTACCACCCCTGGTGATTTGAAAGATACGCGCGCACCGCTGGAAATATGTTGGTGGTTGCTAGGAAACGGTCAACAGAAACGTTTCACAGGCGGACATCACAAGGTAAGACGATGGGAAATAATGCTAGTAACGCTAAAATATTATTATTTTTACCAACCACAATTGTAAATATTAGAAATGGACACGTTTTGTGTATCTTTTTCAATTTCTACAGCTTACTGCACGAAAAAAGTTTAACCCTCTGTGGGCTTCTTCGGTCAAAAATGACCGAAAACTGTTACGTTTTGAAATGTTTTTTTTTTTTTTTTGCTTCATCGGAGGGGGATGAAACTTGGTGACTTTGGTTGTAGATTACCTATGAACACACAAAATAATCAAGGAGATGATTCGGATATGTTAAAGGGTCGTAAAAAAATAGTCACACTTAACGTTAGCTTCCTCCCGCTCAAAAATGACCGACCATAGGAAACTATTGGGAAATACGAAAAAAAATAGGAAAACTCAGAGAAACTTTTGGTGGTACAAACTACAGATCAGCCACTGTGCAGAAAAAAAGTGTAAAGCTTTATCAAATACTGAGTAACAAAAATCTTTGCATTGTGTTCCCTTTCTAACCAAATGTTATTGTTTGATTGTAGTCATAATGCAAATCCTGATAGCACTTATCTAAAAAAAAATTATTAAAAAAATCTATCTTTTTAGAATATCTAAATACATATCTAAATAGAAAAAAAACGAATAAGAGAAATCATGTATAAAAACAACAATAGGAATCAAAAAGCCTTTCTATTTATATACGTTAGGCAGATAGGCAGCCTAATGTTACAGGCGTTACAGGACATTTCACACATTTATATATTTTTAAAGCCACTGGATGGCGCTGTTCTCACTTGAAATTGTTTTTGCCTGCAGCCTGCACTCTATTTTGATGTGAAATGTTGCATTTATTGACATTTTTTTTTAAATAAAAAAATTAAATAATATATTAATTCTAATGGAAGAAATAGCTCATAAAAATTATATAATTAATGCAAAGTATCATACAAATCTTTAGATATCTTAAGTTATCTATCTGTCTGTATGTCTGTCTGTATGTCTGTCTATCTGTCTGTCTGTCTGTCTGTTTGTCTGTCTGTATTGACAAGCCAGTTCTGATTTTGTGTAATAAAATACATCTTCTCTTTTGAGGACTTTTGAATCTGTGATCCACAGTCAGCAAACATGTCTAAAAAAGCATGGAAGAAAGGAGGTGGAAAACGTGCCGGGATGACTGAGGAGGAGAGACTTCTGAACATGCAGCAAAAGGCTCAAGCTGAGGCGGATATTGCCAAGAGAAAAGAGGACATGCTCACCCACTTCGTCAAGGTGTGACAAGCAGCTGACATATTATATATGAGCTGGAGTAAACATTTTAGATTTAGAAATCGCTGAGTCGTGGCTATATATTTGTATAGTGCAAATATATAGTGCAAATATAAAACACATCGTTTCAAGGCAGACTGCCATATACAGAAAATGTAACGTTATGTCAGGCAAATGTTCTGTCGGGCGTTTCATATCTGTAGAACCAGCGGTTCCCATCATGGGATCATTTTATGGATTTAGTTTTAATCCATTAATTTTGATTTTATATATTATTTATTTTGATGGAATTTTACAGCATGTAAACATACTTTATCAGTATCACTAGACATTTTTTTAATAACCTGTTAAACACAAAAGTATGCAATCATTTAAGACATTTCTTAAGTGAGCCGTACCGAACCGAACCGTACCGTACTATGCAGTGGAAAAGCGCCAATAGAACCAAAGCGTTCTTGAAAATTGAATCAGGAACACTAGGGTTCTGTATTGAACCCCACTGGACCCTTTTTAAGTCCTAGAAGTCCAATTTATTCAGTTATTTTATTTTTATTTAAAAGAATTTAGCCAAAAAGCCTTGGTCATTGCAATAAATAAATTATTTTTTATGAATTACATTAGTAGATAATATTTAATAAATATAGCTATACATGAAAGATTTTAAATACAATTCACAGGTCTTTGGTTTGTCCTAAAATCTAATTTTGTAAATACAATTTTATGCATAAAATATGTCTCTATGAATACCCATCAGATCATCAAAAAAGTTTTTTTATTTTTTATTTTATTATACGTGTTCACGGTTTTTGGTGCATTGCATAAAAATCAGAACTTTTTTCTTTTTTTCACAACAGTTATTTACTTCTTAGTACTTCTACAGTTTTTTAATTGCTATAGGACACATTTCTTAATACTTAGGTCACTTTTTCGAAACTCTTCACACAGTTAACCAACTTTCAAGTTGGTCCAACAGTAAATTTCACATTCGAAATGCAAAACACGTCATTCATGTTTCAAATCAAACCATTCTTCCAGAACACTAGCAAAGGTTTTTACCCAACAAACTCACTTTGTCACTCATACCACAACAACCTAAAAACACTAACAACCGGAAGCATCATACATGGGTTTCCATTGTAAAATTTCTTTACAAAACATGAATGACTCTCTCTACTGTTTAGAATTCACTGCAGTTTATGTGACATGGTCAATGTTTACATTTAGTCTCTTTTGTCTAGAATAGATGGTAATGAAACTGAAAGACTAACACCTGTGTAGGTGTTGAGCTACATCTAATTGTTTTGATAGTATGTCATTATTTCGACCTTCACCTTGTTCTCTCCGGATTCCCCCTCTCATCCGCACTCTCCCTCTTCCTCTTCCTCTTCCACCTCCACCTTCACCTTCACCTTGTTCTCTCCGGATTCCCCCTCTCATCCGCACTCTCCCTCTTCCTCTTCCTCTTCCTCTTCCACCTCCACCTTCACCTTCACCTTGTTCTCTCCGGATTCCCCCTCTCATCCGTACTCTCCCTCTTCCTCTTCCTCTTCCTCTGACACCGTCCATTTTTGAACTTACCTGTTCCCTTTTTATAGTACTTAAACCTGAATGGTGTGTCTACAATTAAGCACCAGTGTGTGTGCACACCTGGTGGCTGTGTTTAACCAATTGGTTCATGGGTGTGTTCATTTGATAGCCTTTGCTTTGAAATTGCAAGGAAATTACATCATGATAAATTTATGTGTCAAATGCATACAAATCGAGCGTCAGCGTCAGTTCTGGCAGGCCAGGTAGTCAAGCTGCTGCTTATGCTATTTGCTATCAACACTGTCCCGTCAGCTGATCTGCTCCAGCTGAGCTGCATTAGCTGGTTAACTCCCCTCGCTGTTCAATGGCCAAGCTCAAACAAGGCGCCTTATTTTAAGCTCATTCACCTTGCTCATACATGCTTGCTGCTCGCTCTGCTAGCTCGCTGCTCGCTTCTGCTGCAATATTGACACAGGACGACGTGATTCATTCTCCATTCATCTCTGAAAATCTTCACGAAGCTAAGTTCCTTTTTAATATTCATTGCTAAAAGCTATCAGTGTGTTGGCAACATCCTTCTTGTTAATGCTATTCGTGTGGCATTTGGGCTTATCTAACTAATCGTTTTCATAAAAATGCTTATGCGATCATATTGGCTACGTGCGTTCTCTTACGAGAGGTTCTCTCGTATTGCGTAAGCTAGCTTACGCTGCGGGAAAGATTCATCTTTGCTGAGATATTGAAGCCAAAAAATTATTTCATAATTTTGTATCCATACACAACGCAGTTCCTCTGCGGCAGACCTAGAGCGGGCTAGCTAGCAGCTCATTGGTTCGCTCAGAGAGAACTGCTTAAGCCTATGGGAGAGCGGGGCTGAACCCGCTTCCAATGAGAGGCGCCCGCGCGCTCATTGCGTCATGACCCGCCAGAATGGGCGTGGCCATGGTGTATATAAGGCGCTCTCCCAGGCTTATATGTTGATTCATTTCATCTTCAGCAAGCTGCACGCTTCTGCTGTTCCTGAGAAAAGCCATCGCCGTCGAAGAAGGCATCCTCTAGCGAGCTCAAGGACCCTGAAGAAGCCGGCCGTCTTCGCCACCTTCAGCCGCCCAGCAAGCTAGGCCATCCGACGATTGTATCCTTTCTCTATTTCTAAAAGAGCCGAGCGTCTTTTTAAAGATGTCTCGTTTTTCCTGCGGCTCTTGCCGCGCTCGTCTCGAGGACGGAGACCGCCATGTCATCTGCGCTTTCTGCTTGGGACTCGAGCATGCAGAACTCGCCCTCGCTGATGGAGGATGCGACCTCTGTGAAAGCCTGCCGTTATCGTCCCTGCGGGCACGACTTCTGGCAGTGAAAACCGCTCCCGCGCCGCCTATTCTCTCGCCGCGTAAAAAGAAACGCCGCTCTCAAAGGCCGCCGGAGCCCCCAGCGGAAACATGCGGGCCGCCGCCGCCGCCTCCCGCTTCCCGCTCTCCCTCCCCGCCCCTGCCGGACATTCAGTTGCCGCCGAGTGGCCGCTCTGTTGTTTCCGATGACGCCGCGGAGGAGAAGGACTCCTGTTCACTGCTCGCTTCTGACAGTGAAGACTGGTCATCTCTCGGATCCGCGAGAGAGTCAACGGGGACCCGCGCCGGGATAGAAGAGGAGCTGATGCGCCTCCTCTCACAGGCCGTCGAACGCCTCGGTCTCGAGTGGTCTCCTCCACCCGAGCAGGCCCCGAACCGAATGGACGGTAGCTTTTTTCATCGGCGCTCGACCCCCGCGTGCACCCGGGCCGCTCCATTCCTGCCTGAACTTCACGCAGAGCTGACAAAATCCTGGAATGCACCGCTCTCGGCTAGAAATCGCTCCGATGTATCCGCCTCGCTGCGCTCGGTGGACGGAGCCGCCGAGAAAGGCTATGCAGCCATGCCGCCCGTCGAGGACTTGGTCGCCACACACCTCTGCCCGCCCTCCGCTAGATGGCGTTCTTCACCCACGCTTCCTTCGAAGGCTTGCAGAGCGACCTCGAGCTTTCATGCTCGCGCTTACGCCGCCGCCGGTCAGGCCGCCGCTGCGCTTCACTCTATGTCTGTCCTCCAAGTGTTACAGAGCGATATTCTCCGTGAATGGGCCGAAGGCGGTAGAAAACCCCCCCCCGCCGTCACGGATTTGAGAAGTGCTACGGATCTCGCCCTTCGCGCCACTAAAGCCGCCGCACAAGCTCTGGGGAAATGCATGGCCAGCCTTTGTGTTGCTGAGAGACACTTATGGCTCACGCTCGCCGACATGGGAGATTCTGAGCGCGCCGCGTTTCTCAACGCGCCCCTCTCCCCGACGGGCCTGTTTGGATCTGCCGTCACGGGAATTGTCGATCGCTTTTCTGAAGTACAGAAAGCTTCTCAGGCGATGAACTTGTTTCTACCCCGCCGCGCTAGCTCTTCAGCGGGCCGCTCTCACGAGCCCTCCGCCAGAGCCCCATCACAGCGCCCCCCTCCGCAGACTCAAACAACTCAGCGCAGTCAGAGCGGCCGCCCTCGCCCTCGCTCTCGCTCTGACAGCCGCCGCAGACCGCCGCCCCCCCGTGGCCCGCGACCCAAGATCACGCTGAAGCCTGATCATCAGAAGTCTGCCTAACAATGTCAAGAAAACGACGGTGCTCTCCCGCCGCGGCCGGACCGCCGTCAAAGCTTCGCCCTCTGCCAGTCCCCGTTATTTCGCCGACTGCTGTAGTGTTGACCGCCACAAACAAGCCGGTGTCCCAGCCCGCTTGCGAGCGACAAAAAGCCGTTTTTACGGCTACCCAGAGAAATCTCAAAAAGAGAAATTTTGCCAGTTGTCTAGAAAATGTGCCCACAATCATGTGTTCACCCATACACACAAGCATAACATATCCCGTGTCTCTATCAGAGCCCCATCACATGAAACGGGCACAGCCCGCTCTAATATCAGAGAACATAAACACGCCCACGAGCTCGTGCACGTGTCCCCTCTCTGCTCGCTCTGTGTCACGGCCCATAGACTCCTCTCTGAGTGCAAATCCCGTTGCCACACACATTCAAAGCGCGCCCACACACTGTGTCCAGCCCGCTATGTGCAGCAATCAGGGCAATACAGCCATTCGGCCACTAGCCGCATGCTCCAAAGCGTGGGAAGCCATTCCAGGCATTTCCCCGTGGGTGTTAAGCATTATAAAGAACGGCTACCTGCTACAGTTTCGCCGCCGCCCGCCTCGTGCGCGCGCGCAGCTCGAATCTTCTGTCAGCCCGCTGGCCGCCGGCACGCTCTGCTCAGAAATTGCGACGCTGTTGCAAAAGGGCGCGATAGAGAGAGTCCCGCCATCTATGACCGAGTCGGGGTTTTACGGCCGTTATTTTCTGGTTCCCAAGAAAGACGGCGGCCTCAGACCGATCTTAGATCTCAGGTCTTTGAACAAAGCGCTCATGAAGAGACCGTTCAAGATGCTCACTACCAGGAAACTCCTCGCGCAGGTGCGC